TAATGACAGCGTCCCTGGGCCTGAAAACGTGAGCTGTACCCGAATTTACTCCTTCACATAACAAGCACCCACCCCACTCTTTCTCCGAGGTCTACATGTTAATTTGTCTAATCAGTTTACGTTTTTCGTCTACCTCCATTTGGACTGTCTCGTTTGTTTTTCTGTAACATTGTTACATTCGTGGCATTTATTTTCCACTCTGCACACATATACATCAACATCGGATCTATATATCGCTCGAAAAGACTGTCACACTACAGTTATCTCGTTGAAAACAAAAGCGCCAGTGAATTATAGTAGCAGCGTACAGTCATGATTTATGAGAGAATCTGCATATTGTCTGTCTGTCTGTCTGTCTGTCTGTCTCTCTCTCTCTCTCTCTCTCTCTCTCTCTCTCTCTCGCGGGCTCTCTCTCTTTCTCCGTGTGTGTGTGTGTGTGTGTGTGTGTGTGTGTGTGCACATGCACATGCTAGCTAAGACAGTCTAGCAGCCAGGAATTGTATGACTTTTAATCTGATTTTGTTATCTGATTTTATGATAGAGTTAATTTTTCCAGCAGTTCAACAACAGACTTCTTCTTCTTCTTCTTTGCGTTCGGTTTTGTTTGCTCAGATGAGACCATCAGGTGGGTTGCCTCTATGAACTCGTATGTCAGCAGCAGGTTCGTCATGGTTTCCCAAACCTTGCTCTGCACACTTTGCTCTGAAGGCCAGGTGTCTTTTCGAAGTTATTTGCAGAGTGGGCAGGTCTGCAGAATGTGCACAGGTGTTTTTGGTATTGTTTGACAGGCAAACTGTGGCGACTGTACAATCTTTATTCTATGCATTTGGTAGTTGAGCCTGCAGTGTCCTGTTCGTAGACCGAAAATTGTTGTATGTTGCTTTCTGTTGAGTTTGCTGATGGGGTCTTGTGGATGTTTACTGTTAGTTTGTTCTCTCTACAATTCCTTGTATTGACAACATACAGAATTAGCTTCTCGTGATGCGTTTGTTTGGAATGCCAGGACAAACAGTAACAGTTCTAATAACACCAAATATAGATCCCACAATATGTTGTTTGTCCACACGTTTATCCCCAGCATCTTGTCTCGTACTTTGCCGATCATGTTTGATATGGATGATCCTTCATTTCTTTCTGTAAAATTATCAAACGCCATTTCCATAGAGTTACGTCTAAATCTCCCCCCTTTCATCTTTCCTGTTGTCACAAAATACTTCAGTATTCCCTTCTAGCGAAAAGTGAAGACAGGGATGCTTCGAGCAGAGTGGAAAGCTTCACTGAAAAGGTCACGTATAGTGAACATACTTTGGATCTTTTCTTCATGTTGTGGGTAATGAACAGGCAGACAGATTAGCTGAATCTGCACAACTGGGTGGTTAATTGATACATGACAAGGCAGATGTGGTCAAGGCCCTTTGGAAATAAGCAACGGAATCAGTAGAGAAAGAAAGGCATTATGACCTGGAGAGAATAAGGCATCTGGACACTCAGAGGAAAGGCAAGACGGACATATAACCAGATAGTGACCGGTACCATCAGTTTTGGAACCTTGCGCTGGCTGCTGAAGATAAGGACGGAGCATGCATGAGAATTTCCCGAGTGCTGTGATGTCAGTTCTCAACTTAGTTCAACTCACTTCTTGCGACATTTCCAAATAATGTTAAGTACGTTTTTTCAGATTTCAGATGCCGGCAGTTCTCATATGAATTAATTTCTTGTAAGATATTTTCATCAAACGTTTGTATTCACTTATGGTGCTTTTGGTGGTACTTTTGGTCATCTTAGTTTTAGGTTCATAGCAAACGGGTCACCCCATAGCTGCTCTGCTCCTCTGCCAACGAAATATAACAGAATGCCGATCACAGTCCCTTGTGGACAAATTGACGCAGACTGCAGTCTCAGCATATCCACTAGCATACAGTTGCGTATGCTTTACAGGACGTTGCAGAACCAACCCCAGCATTTTTTTGCCTGTTTTGGTTTTTCTAGGCAATTTTAAGTTCAGTAGTTTGCCCCTAATTCTTTAACGGTCGGCGTCTCGATACCACTGTCGAAACTGACGCAAGGCGCAAGGTCCGCAGCTTTGATTGAATCCGGCATTACGAAGCACGTGCGCAACGGCAAAGCCACATATGCCAACCACTAGCATACACACGCCAACACATAAGCTAACTATCAGAAGTGGGTACCACCAACACTGTGGTAACAGGTCATACCCCTATTCTGAATCTACAGTTCACAACACTATGTTAGTCGTAGTCTTAAAAACATTCCTAATCAAATCCACAGCTCACAGTGTCACGCCATGCACTCAACTCAGTAGCTGAGTGACAAAACTATATCTTTTCAGTATACAAATGGAAGAAAATGCAATGGCCACCGTCTGTCAGAAGCATAAATTTGCCTCGACTAAGAACAGTGACCGTGCCTAACAACCATTTTGACCAGAAAAAAATTCTATGGCGCTTTTATTTTATTCTTCTTCTACGAAGCCATACTTGTTAAAATCGCAGATATCACAAATTTTCCCTCTAAACTAATAACAATTCATAATTCATTTCTGTATATGAGAACTAAGAAGATGAGAAATATTGACATCTGAAAACATCTGAACATCAAGAAAGATTGGCTAATAAACAGCATCCTTTCTCGAAAGCTGAAATATTTTGGTCATATCAAGCGCCACGACGGATTGGAAAAAAATATAGCAGAAGGCATTGTACCAAGAAGGAGGGGCATGGGCCAACCGAAACGAAATGGGCACAGGATATAAGTGACTCCTTGAGTGTGAAGTTGCATAAGGGGGAGAACTGGCGAGAGACCGAGTTTCTTTTAGGCAGTCTGTGATGAGAGCGACGTTCTGCAAAGGACCTGCTACATGATGATGATGATATGAGAACTGACTCTGTACAGCTCTTAGAATTTCCTTCGTAATACCAGTTGACGGAGAGACATTGTGTTGAATGTTCCCCGTTCAGTGTAATGTTGTTTCTACATGAGTTCTGCGACACTCAAAACTGGATTAAGACTTGATGGGGTCTAAGCTAAACGAAGACTTGTTTTATATTACACCAGCTAACCTGAAAACACTAAAATGTACGCATTTTAAATTACCGGATTGTACAAATATATTATCGTTTAATTCTGTGTAAAAGAAATAATAAATATGTGTCTACAAAACTACAATTACATTATATAACCAGCTGAAAGGCTCTTTAAAAAAAATCGTATTTGTGAAGACAAAAAATTTGCATTTGGCATTTGTTGAGGCTTCCTGCATACTGTGAGGCCCTGAGCTGTAGCTTCGTTATGCCCAAATCCAGCACTGGCTGCACTTAACTGCTACAGTACATCCAGCACTGGCTGCACTTAACTGCTACAGTACATCCAGCACTGGCTGCACTTAACTGCTACAGTACATCCAGCACTGGCTGCACTTAACTGCTACAGTACACCCAGCACTGGCTGCACTAAACTGCTACAGTACATCCAGCACTGGCTGCACTTAACTGCTACAGTACATCCAGCACTGGCTGCACTTAACCGCTACAGTACTTCACCCATTTGCTGTTATCAGACTACTGTTATGTAGTTATCACGCACCTGAAGCAATTAAAGCTGAGTCATGGAACTAAACATAAATATTCCCTTTAAACTAGTCCTTTTTACGTTGATGTGTTCTGACGTGCTTCACTGGGAGATAAAAGATACGACATGAGGACGAATAAAATATTGCAGAAAGTAGAGGACCCTTTTCACGCTAATGGTGCATCGGGTATAGAATGCTAGACTGCTATTTTAAAAAATAAAAGTTAAAAAGTCAACAGATTATATCCTCATTGCACATCGAACCATTCAGTCCATCGGTGCTCGGATCTCTCCTTAGTAAATCCAGCTTGCAACGGCTCACGACACCAGTTCTGTCTCGGTTTCTTTTTCTTCTTTGGCTTCCGGCATAGTGTTCTTGTTTGGCTACACTCATTTCAACATGTTGTCCTTGTAGTCTGGTCATGGTAGCAGATTCACAGTGATCACTAAATTCTCGTAAAACATCTTACTTCTCGAAGATCAGTCAGAAAATCTGCTTGGTCCATTGCTCGTATGCCCTGCACAATAGCTTTACATGCAAACCTATCGTATTGCTTACTTCCAAGAACAAATAAGAAACTGATATATATCAGCCCCGAGTGTTTTAGAGACTCCAACCACTGCCTTCGGACCCAGCCCCTTTCTATATTCCTGAGCATACTCATGGCGTTACTGAGAAAGCATGCGCAGGAAAAGGTCTGTCTCCAGTCATGTTATTGATTTAGTCACTGCCATGACCTCCATGATGATCCTAATTGTGGTCAAGGCGGTGGGGTGTTGACACTATTTGTTAGAGACCAATGGGTACTCTCCGTGGGTTATGTAGTGAAAGTCGCTCGCGTCAACCATGTTTACTTTCTAAGACATTTTCTGGTACCTATTTAGGCTGGTTTGACTTGGGAGCCAGAGTCAATTTTGAAAAAAAAAAAAAAAATCCGATCAGATACATAAACAAACTTCAGACATTCGGGTCGACTGGCAAGAGCCGCCGTACCACTTGTTATCGCGGAACCGAAGCAGGCTGTTTATCCGGCTGTAGGTTTTTATATTTATTACTGTACTGTAGTAAAGCAGGTCATCCCATCGCTAAAGCTACTTCATATACAGTTTAAAGTGTAAACCTCAAGTACACTTAAGGTACTTTAAGAGAATTCAAGTAGATTGCAAAAACTACGGCTAGATAGATATTTTCTAGGGCTGGTCGTGGCATAAACATAGCAAGGGAGCTGTCACTGTAGTACTTTATTACTGAAATTAGTCGCGTGTGCGTGCGTGTGTGTGTGTGTGTGTGTGTGTGTGTGTGTGTGTGTGTGTGACTGCGCGTGTGTCTGTGTGAGTGTGATCTAAGTCACTATGGTTACTATTTTGCCAAGGCAAAACTTTGACACAAAGAAAGACACGCAGAAACTTACCACACACCTGCCTCGAATACACACGGCTGTGTTCTCTGCATTGCAGATAACAAAGTCAGCAACCGTCTTTTGGAAGCGTGCGTAATATTCGAATCCCACAGACTTGCAAGACAGCTCGCATGGAGACATACCTTGAATTAGAAAGCCATGTAGCAGTGAGTCACTGGGAGAAATGGTTAACAAAATTTAATAAAAACATCTTTCGGAAAAAAAAAACGTTTTATTTAGCACGCTTCACATTATTATTGCACCTAATTAATGCATGATGATGAGGTAAACATCAGAATCTCTAAAGCCATCTACCCATTAGGCAGACTGTACACCAATGTATGACATCGAAGCAGTATCAGTCTGGAAATCAAACTGCAGGTGTACACCGCTGCAGTGCTTCCAGGCAAAGAAGCTCAGCCACTTCCATACAGTCTCTCTATGAAAGCTGCTTAACGTCAAGTAACAAGACAGGGTCCATGAAACTGTTGTACTGGAGAGAGTTGGCATTCTCAGCATTGAAACCATCCTGATGCAGTTACGATAGGCAAGGACACCTCGTCAAAATATCGGCTCTAAAAAAAATCTGTTATGGTGAGACACCAGAAGGTAGAAGTTCTCAGGGTGGCAAACACATACACACACACGCACGCACGCATATACACACCGCCTCAAGTACATGCTAAAGGCATCACTTGCCTTCTATTTAAACCGTGACATTTGGAAGGTTACTGCACAAACCCGGACTATATTGCGAACGGCCAATTAAAGAGGTCTAGTAACTTGCAAAGTATTTAGAAAAAAGGCAGCTGAACAGCGAAAACGGACCACAAAGGCGCGTATAACAGGCCGTTTATCTACAGACACTGTTCCCACTGTTGTCAAAGATCTTTCCGGACCATATTGGGCTTATAAGTCAGCTCCAGACTCACAATCAACTATAGTTTCAGGACGGAAGCAAGAAAAAGTGGCCCTCATCTCTTGCGATGGGCAAAAAAACAAAAAAAAAAACAAAACAATGCACCAAGAATCTTCCCCCCCCCCCCCCCCCCCCCCCACCCCTTTTCAGTTTTTCAGGATTAGTCAATAAAATAATTGTCATATGCGAATACATAATTTTATTCACAAAATGCATCCACAATATATTCTCATAACTAACAAAATCACTCACAGGGACAAGCGGGCTGGACAACAAAGCAAACAAAAGCTTGAATGAATTGCATCTGGCTACTTACTGTTAATGTATGGAACCCAAGAGAATGTTTGACCACCATAATATACCTTGTTGTGCTTGGCACACTCTATTGCCCTGTAGTCGGTCAATGCATCAGTGCAGTTCTGGAGTTGGATACATAACAGTGGATGAGTAAGATTAAAAAAAAAATCTTTTTGTTATGAGTGTCATAGGGAAGCGATGGGCGGGTAAGAAAGGGGAAGCCGGGGTGACGCAGTAATGAGACGTTTATACGCCGGCCTAAAGGTCTTTGGTGTAAGTCCACATATGGGCGAATTTTCAAAACTGGCTGAGGGTTCCTAGGTCAACCCAACCAAATACAGATATCAGATGTTATGAGAACTCAAGGCGACTGGTGTGATAAACGATGCCTTCATCTATCAAATGTCGTTGGGTCTATACAGATATGGGTCTCGTATCATATTTGTTTTCCTTTACAAGAAAACCCTGTTGCAAATACTTCTCAATTCCTCACCAACTCAGGACTGCAAGCTACTTCTTGGTGTGTCGTTACAGGTGTATTAATTATAACTTCCCACAAAGGTTGAGACAAGTATCCGTGATATCGCAAGCTTGGTCAGAAGTTCCGTTAGCAGTTCGGAAGGGTGGTCGACAGGCACTGATAGCAGACAAGTAGTTAAGAGAAAAACAAAGAATACAGTCTTATTATGATGAGAAGCAGATTGAAATATCAATACTGACAAGATACAAATGAACGAACAAACTTTATCGATACATTACGTTAGACCTTCAACAAGATGGGACACATTGACGGAGAGCTAAATAGATATAATGGAAAGGCATACTTCATTGTATCCGACTGTATCCTAAATGGTCCCATTATATGCAGACGGCTGCACTCAATAGATACTGCATAAGGATCTAGTTATATATCATTAACGTCATCATAATTAAGCAGGTCCTTTGCAGAACGCCGCTCATAACTGTCTGCCTGATACAAACTCACTCACGCCCGCTCTCTCGCAAAGTACATTTTCATATCCAAGGAGTGCCTTATATCCCGTGCTCAACTTCGTGGTCGGCCCGGCCGCTCCTTCCTTATACCATGCTCTCTAATTTTTTTTTTTCCCAATCCACTTTGGCGCTTAATATGACCAAACTTGCGATACAAGATGCTGTTTATTACCTAGTCTTCATTGATCTTTTAGGATCCCGATATTAAAAAACAAAATCTTTTTTGTCTATCTACAGATTACTTCTTCTTCTCTACGTCTTTTTTTCAAATCGCTTCTAGTGTTAAGGGAGATATAAGATCCTGCTTCGTGCTCTTCTGCTGCTTCAACCATAAACACATCGCGGTGCTGCAGAATTTCTATGTTATCTACCCTTGTTCCTTGTCTACCTCTTGCGCTACATTCCTCTCCTCTTTTGTTATATGCCTTGTATGGTATAGCATCAGAAGGCATGCTCTCCAAGTAGGCAAACGATTTGATTTACTGACTTTGTATGTAATTTCGAATTTGTTATGTGCCGACTTTCTCTCGCATGACCTAATTCGTGATTTTATCTCTTCCGGTCACCGCTACAGTCTTTCTTAAATACCTCATCTCTATGGCTACTTTTTCTTCTTCTTCTTCTTCTCCTTCTCCTTCTTCTTCTGCGTTCATCAGAAGATGTAATTGCGTTGTGTCCGTTTACAGCATCGCTGCGATATTTGCACCTTTCGGCCAACACATCCGACTTCTGGGGGCATTTGTTAACCGGGTTAGCCTTCCCGGTTCTATGGTTACTAAATTTCTTTTAAGCCTGGAGAGCGCATTGCCAAGAATACTCACATGGGGTGAGATATGGCGAATGACCCCGTTGCGATTGAGCTTTATCGTTCGTTCGGCGTACGATGTATTACCGTCCGGTGTTAACATGGTTAAATGGTCTGCGACTAACCATCCGACTTGCCCGTTGTGCAAAGCGAAGCAGACTCTTGAGCACGTCCTGTCCGCGTGCAGGAAAGCCCTAGGCCAAGGCCGATATACCTGGCGACACAACAAGGTGCTAAAAGAGTTAGCAGCCGTTGTTGACCAGGCTAGAATGAGGACTAACGCTAGAGCCAGTTCTACCATCGTCCCCATTCGTTTCCTCAAGGCTGGGCAGATTCAAAAAGGTAAGGTCAACCGAGACGCATTCGCTCCATCTGTGCTAGACTCTGCGAGGGACTGGTTACTGGCGGTTGATCTGCCAGGCCATGAAAGGTACCCTGAGTTAATCCGGAAGACCGGCCTGCGACCTGACATAGTGCTCCACTCGGCGGAGAAACGGCAGCTCGAGAAATACAGTGATTTAGCAGCCGGTCTGAGGAGAGGCGAGGCGTACACAGTACGGGTCTTTGCCGTCGAAGTGGGAGCGAGAGGCCTCGTTTCCACTTCGCTCTACAATGTGGTTAAAGAACTAGGATTGCGCGGTAATGAACGGAAACGAACACTCAAACGGCTGGGCGAGGCAGCGGAGAGGGCCTCGAGCTGGCTTTGGTCACAACGAAACAACGTAGGGGACGGGCCTCGGTGAGCTGGTCCGGGTTTCTAGTGGAAAAGGGTTTCTCACCCCTAGAAAGTCCATCGTGTCCGAATTGTCTGCCAGTGATCCTCTGCCACCTGCTAACAAAAGTCCAACATGTGTCCGGTATACCAATTGTAAGCTTGTCGCTCGGTCGTCCAGGTATGCTGACTGTTCTAATTAGGCTACCGCGATGACTTCTTATCTCACAGTACCTCCTGCAAATCACAAAGTCGTCTTGTCCCTATCCGAAAGAAAACACCATCCGGTAATTTCGTGCAGCAGGGTACCAGCCCTGAGCTTCATGAACTCAGGTGGGCCCACCTCTGAAAACGTATAGGAGAACGTGGGCTGAAACGTTTGTCGACGAGGATAACTTTACCGCAGTCACCTTATTTACTGATGACTGGTAGATCCCTCCTGTACTTGCTCCCTGTGAGTTTATTCCTACTTTTATGTTTTGTTGTGAGTGACCACGTCTGGCACTGGTAGCATAGGATGGGAAAATGTATGCTTTGTAAAAGATGTTTCTGTGTGCTGATTGGGATTGCCTTATGCTGAAGATTATTTACGGAATATAAATTTTTCGTCTGCTGAATATGTACTAAATATGGGAATATTTGTCTATTTTATAGGCACTGTATACAGTTATTGATGGATCTGATTGAAGTGATTTGGTACTGTATACAGTTATTGATGGATCTGATTGAAGTGATTTGGTACTGTATACAGTTATTGATGGATCTGATTGAAGTGATTTGGTACTGTATACAGTTATTGATGGATCTGATTGAAGTGATTAGGCACTGTATACAGTTATTGATGGATCTGATTGAAGTGATTTGATGGCAGTCCTAACTAATCACTATTTAAGTGTAATGAAGAGGTATGCTGAATACGAAAGTGTATGTACACACACACACACGTAAACATACTGACCTGCATGATACACAGCTTGAATTGTTTAGATGGTCCTTGGCAAGTGGTACTGTTGTTGTGCCTGACAGAACAAAACAAGGAATCAGAGATTCTGACTTTTCGGTGTATTGAAGATCTTCACTGTATTTCAAAAAAAAAAAAAATGGTGATACTGGTATTGCCCAAACATTGGCAACTATGAAACTCTTTTAAGAACAATAACGGGAAATGCAATGGGTCCTGACGTGGACTGAGATTTGCCGGCCTTCCAGAACAAACTGCACGGCTCGGTAGAGGGGAAAAGAAGAAGATGCAGACAACGAAAGACCTCGATATAGAACATGTCTAACTGGAAAGGACTGAGACATGCACACAATGAAGTCGATTTTATCTGACCGACAGAGTGGCAGAGGGCCCTGATCAGAGAATCAACCGCAACCCAACCGTCACGCGGTGTTATGATACTATGTTGGTGGTGATGATATTTATGTTTAGCTTATCGTTCTTTTTTCAGATCCTGCAAGTGTTCATGATTCAAGCAGTTGATCTGTATCTTATGTGATTTTACTATCAATCTACTGATTAGTCTATATTTAGATATTTTCTTCTGGTCATGCCGGTGTGTTGTGAAATGAGCAAGCAGAGAGACTGGCTGGCTCTGCACCAGTTGGTGGGGAATTGATGTATGACAAGTTAGATATTATAAGGAGCGAGTGAACAGTGCGGAGGAGCAGATAGAAGAATGGAGCTGCGAGGAGTTACCAGGGGGTCTGGCCGACGCTTAACACTCAGGGGAAGGATGAGACAGATATACAATCAGACGGTTACTGGTACTTTCGGAATTGGAATTCATTGTTTGCTGCTGAAAATGGGGACTGAGCATTTATGGGAGTGTCCTGAGTGCTGTGATGCCGATTCTTAATTCAACATTGAACATTCTACTGTTTAGACTAGCAAGCAACTTCTAGATTAACAATAACTGTCCGCTCGAATGCGAATCGGAAGATCGTGGGTTCAGCTCCTGGCGTAACCGGACTTTTTTTTCGAAAATGACCTTGGCCACAGGTCGACCAGCCTTAAATGTGTACCAAGAAAAGTCATAGGAAGTGAAAGCGACTAGCGGATTGGTCTATAAAATATAGATCTACATTATACGCCTGAAAGCGCCGAAAAGGATTATTTTTTTACTGTTACTTACAGTCTACACAATTTGGTTGGTGAAAAAAAAAGGGGGAGGGGTAGGGAAAATGGGAGGGGGTAGGGAAAGAGAGAGGGGCGTTCAGAGGACTGAACCCCTATGCATGTGCGTAATCTTTGACCAAGTTACTGTAACTGCCTTCCTTCAAAAAAGGAGAAAACCAGCTTGGGACTTTCCCAGTTCCAATAAACATTCCCTAAAAATACATTATCTCTTACAGCATTTATAATATTTTATTTACCAATGGCTGTTTAAGCTCAGTTCCCTGGCAAGCTGGACTGCGTGCTATCGAGTGTTTCTCATGCTGCCATTTTTCTGGGGCACGAAAGTATTAGTCTTTTCTCCTAATCATCGAAGGGGTCTTCGATATAATAAATGGAACGAAGAGGTGCATCACCACATGTTGTGCCCTGGGTCCAGGACTCGGACTGGTCAAGACTTATCTACACCTTTCCGCGGTTGTCATAGAAACAGTTTCCGAACCAATGGTCGGGCCAACATGAACTGAATAAATGTTTCTTCGAGGCTGCAGCCCATCAGCCTGACAAAGAAGAATCAACAGTCTCCATGCATATAAGCCAGATCTGTGAAATAGATGTGCACGCAAAATTCCAGTTCTGAAACACAATCAAAGTCTTGACATGGATGATTAACTAACTTGGGCTCTCCAGCGGAGTTGACAGATGGCAAGCGTAGAATAACAATAATAATAATAATAATAATAATAATAATAATAATAATAAATAATAATAATAATAATAATAATAATAATAATAATGCTAATATTAATAATAATAATAACAATAAGACAAAGAAGAAGACGAAAAAGAAGAAGAAGAAACGACTACAAATGTGATCAATCTCACCCTTATGGGGACGTACCAATTTCATTATTTAACAGAATGGATGATGGGATGCAGTGTGGTCTGCAACTGAACGGCGATTTCAGCGCCTTTCGGCAAACACATCAGATTTCAGCAATCTATAATTACCAGTTTATTTTACCATTTGTAGGCACAGCGAGTATATTCTCACAACTAACCCTCAACCCCACAGGAAAAAATGGGGCCCCAGAAACCACAGAGAGCAGTTTGCTTACTGACAAGATGCCAGCTTGAAAACTTAAATGAGTGGCAACATCTAGAGTTCATTTCTGTCGCAGCTATCTGACTCCCTAGGTAAATATACAAACCTGCTGTGGTGTGCATGGCATTGTCGTATCCTGTAGGCTGTCCCATAGCCACATGACTGACTGCAGGCTGACCAACCAGTCCATGGACCCCAGTCACGTGCACCCGAAGAACGTTTCTAATAATGAAAAATAAAATTATGACAGACATTGTATTTAAACTTATACAACAGACTGAACATGTACTGCAGAAAACAGAGGCATGGCCGACGGCAGAGAGGATATCCAATGTCACACAACAAGTGTCTCCTAGAATAAAAAAGATTATTTCCCACTTCTTAGAGGCAGCGATATCCTTTTACACGTCAATCGAGTCTTGATGGAAGATGTTATCAATTTCATTATTGCTTTCCCTTCTTTCAACATTTCCTGGCACTCATTCTAGGTAGGGTCAACCTGACAGTCAATATTTCAACAACAAAAAATGGGAATAGGAACTTATGGCCTCCAGGCCAGCCGACAAACAAAGTGGGCTGGTTACTGGGATACCATGCTCGCGCAGCTTCTAGTACAATCTGATATTTGGTTTTGTATATAATGCAGACTCTAAAACACATCTATTATTAGGTTTTATATAAAAGTCAGCCCCAACTCCCGTCTAATATTGAGTATGGTATAAAACGCATAATCTTATCAACATCAATTATTAGGTTTTGTATAAACGCCTCTCACAATAGACTTTTTAACCCCAACTATTTGGATCAAATAAAGTTGGTGACCATTTTCCCGTGGTTGTCAAGGCATGAATAAATCACCGACTTATCATATCACCAGTGACAATACCTCATCTCTGTTTGCGCTACCCTTCGTTGAAGATAATTTCTTCATGCGTGCCAAATTTGCCTGCCTGAGAAAGTGTATTTTAATGTATCTTTGATTTAAGATTCGCTAACGGAAAACTGTAGAAATGCGCCATTTCTGTGCAAACAATGCCAGACACGGAGGACTTAGCCACCAACAAGAAGGACTAAGAAAAATGGTGGCACAGTACGGGTTAATCATTGCACAGAACACTGAAGAATTAAATGGTGTGCTCATCTGATCATTATAGAACGAAATCAGCCAGCAGCTTGAGCATGCTACATGAGGTAAAAGGTAAAAGTCAAGAGACCGGCCAAGAAAAACATTGATGAAGGGAGTGAAGAACACTGTAGAAACGCAATATGACGTTAACACAAGCTACGCAATTAGCAACAACAACAAAAAAAAAAAAAATCAGGAAGCTGAATCCAACTTCTCTCTGCAATGCTTTATGGCATAAGTAGAAGGTCAAAAGGAAAAAAAACACTTACTTTGTAAATGAATAAAATAACAACCAGAAGCGGCACGGCTAACCCCCTTTCCACAGCCAAAGACAACTTGTCTCTTTCCACAACCAAAGACAGCTTGTCTCTCGTCTCTACTATGAATATTTGCTGCAGCTCACCCACTACAGGCTTTGGCAACATTACGCACTGAGACCCTAATCTCTTCCTCGGCGCAACTCTCGTACCGCTGTCTAAATACCCTGATATTTGGTTTATAAGAAACCGTTCGTGCTAACGTATTCGGAATCGAGGAACTCACCATGCGTTTGTTGTGACCAGTGTTTATTACATACACTTCTCATGTCTTTATACAACATCAATTTGTTAACACGAACAAACTTGCTTGAAATGTAACTTTACCTCCTTCTCTCTTAGTGTTTTTATAATATAAAATATTGTTATAACTATAATTTATGTATATATATATATATATATATATATATATATATATATATATATATATATATATATATATATATATATATATATATATATATATATATATATATATATATATATATATATATAGAGAGAGAGAGAGAGAGAGAGAGTGGTGTCGAGAGTGAGATCGAAAGTAAGTGGCACAGAACAGAGATGGACAGACACACAGACAGACACACAGACACACAGACACACAGACAGACAGACAGACAGACAGACAGACAGACAGACAGACAGACAGACAGACAGACAGACAGACACACAGACACACACACAGACACACAGACAGACACACAGACACACAGACAGACAGACAGACAGACAGACAGACAGACAGACAGACAGACAGACAGACAGACAGACAGACAGACAGACAGACAGACAGACAGACAGACAGACAGACAGACAGACAGACAGACAGACAGACAGACAGACAGACAGACAGACAGACAGACAGACAGGGAAACAGCGTGACCGCGACAGAGAGAAGGTTCAAGATAAATACAATGAAGGGGTGATGAAAGAGAGAGAGAGAATGAGAGGGAGATTGAGAAAAAAATTATTTTAGAGAGATGTCTATACATTATTTTTTTATACAATGAAGTCTGCCAAAAGCAACAGAATACAGTTATGGCTTGATTCGCAAACTGGCCTCTAGCTGAACACAGACATCAGATCCTTGTTGTGGAGCAATACAGTATCCCATGTAGTGGTTGACAAGGGCAATAACACAGAATGTGTAAGTAGTTTGCTGATTTCATACAGAGCTTTCCAAACTTGTTTTACTGGTGACTATTTTTAGACAAACATACAACCAGATATATAAAGAGGTACAGTAGTACAGCAGCATTTTGTAATGATATCAGATGTTTAAGCTTTTTCTTTGCAGTCAGTTATACGGTATTCACATTTCTTTGTGTGAAATGTTTCTTAAAATGTCAATCCTTATTATAATTTTTTTCGCGTTATTGTTAAAAACATATATTATTAATACTTAAAAGGAGCAGCAATTTAATGGCAGAAGCTTCAAGACAACAGCAAACAGCTCAGACTTAACACGTGCACACGCGCGCTAAAGATTACTTAGATAAAGAACCCGGAAGCAATTAACGCTAATTAGCGGACATCTTCTTACGCAAGGAAATACCACATTAAACCAATTAACGCAACCGTTGTTATATTCTTCTTAATTTCAGATGAAAAAGAAGAGTGTTGGGAAAAACAATGGATGTTTTTCTTTACAAGATAGGAGAAAACATTTACAGCTTACACTTGATCTGCTGAAGAAAGATCTCAGTAAGAGTCAGGGCTGTAGGAGAAGGCGCTAATGCTGCAGTTTGAGGTTTCAACAATGGATCAACATCATGGCACACGGTTAGTAACCCATAAGTGCTTCTTTCTTTTTTTTTAACTCAAGTCTAAGTCCAAAGAAGCTCGGCACAGTACACAGGCTCTGTATCGCCGGCGAGGATCCTGAAATACTTTTGGTAAATTTTTAACCTCAAATTTTTGCCTGGGCAGCGCCGTTAGGCTACTCTTTTCAAATTTTAACCGCCAAGGGATTTTTTTTTACCTGCGCAACAATACACACAGGCGTCCGATCTCACTACCCAGAGACCAGGAGAAATACTAGAAGTCCAAGTCAACGTGAAACAATCCTAGCCCTTACCGAGGATTTAACCCAGAACCTCTAGCACTACAGGCGGTTACCGTGCCTCGTAACAACGCAGCCCCCCCCCCCACACCCCGCCTTAGTTTGGATAGTACTAAAACTGAGTGTCTTAATGTTGGAGAAAAGTGGTCGCATAACAACTGCTAACACAAGTGCTTTATATTCTAGTATCATCCCTATGTGGATTCAGGTATCCACTGAAAAAAGGGGAAAAAAAGGGGGGGGGGGGGACGGGACACATACCTTTTGTCCCTAATAGGCATGTCTAAGAAGGTGACTAATTTAGGTTCGCTGAAATCGGATGTGGTGGCTGAAGGTCGCACAAATTGCAGTCTATAGGTAAATCACTTTACAATGTGCCAACTTCCCTTTAAAGGGAGCACCCAGAAGGAGAGGAAGATATTTGAGTATTAGGTGATCAGGGGACTACAAGTACAGCATTACACGTCATGATTGCCAGTTCTTTCTCCTCTTAGATGGCCGTTTAGGCGACACTTTGGCAATACACGTTCTTCAGTGGGTGGGCATTGAATGCCAGCCGAATTTCTTAGAAAATTCAGTTCGCGGTCTGTTCTTGCTTATTTTTTGTTGAATTGCTACTGTTTTAATTGTGACCGCACCACGCGTTGCTGCTCCACAGCAAAGAGATGGGCGCGGTGATGAATGGTCGCGTGCAGCAACTTCCGAGGTCAATGCTAAAACTCTGTAAGCGAGATTTCTAGATTTTCTTGAAGTGTTTCCTTTGTTTTGTAAGCGTTCTTGTAGCTTAACGTAGAAGATTCTCGTTGTAGTCAGTGATGTGACAGGCCTTGAACATGACTTTTCCAAGCGGAACTGACATTCATATGGATGCTAGCTGTGTCGAGAATGAGGGGAATCATCTCGTCCTTTGAGTTTTAGTAGTTTCATACGGTATGTTGTGTAGGGTTATTTGACAAATTTGGCATGGTGCTGGAAAATAGTCCATGTTTCGCATCTATAGATAAGTACAGGAAGCACATTTGCTTTATAGACTGTCGCTGACCGCTTCTGTTATGGACGTTTGCAAGTCCCTAGCTTTATACATTCCGACATTACTTTCTAGATCGAAAGTGACCACACACACACAAAAAAAAAAAAAAAAAAGGAAGGAGGGTGGAAAGAAACTATTATAGTGGTGCTCTTGCGGTGCTATTCTTAAAAACAAAGTTCCTATAATATGCTGACGAATGAAGAGTTCTTGTGACTGAAGCATCTTCACAAAAGTACAAATATCTACTGTAGTTAGTCTGTGAAAATATAACAAGCATCTGAGAATTTATGTAAAGTTTTTGTTGCTGAAGGATTTTATCAAATACTGGCACAATGTACTACGGAATTACGATACAACAGCCAACACTTGAAATGATACAGATTGTTCATTAAAACAACACATGTGCACTGCCATAGAATGGAGAAATAAGATACTGGTTACACACCACTGCTGGAATGCAACAGGATACTTGTTTTCACTCATTTTTAAGCATCACCTTAACAACATTTGTTTGTGAGAAATTACGATTAGCTGAAGAGGAGCAATAAGCATGACAATTATCTTTACTGTCTGTATCTACCTATGGTAGTGTAGGACAGGAGGGTCGTGAGCTAGATAATTGAAGACCGCATGGCTCATGCAGTTGTCACAAACTGTGTTGATTAGGATTTCTATGTTGACGCCGACAGAAAGAATATTCACCCATTACCTAGGATCGGATCTGGATCTCTCCCACAAAAATCCAGCGTTCTAAGAACTCTGCCAGCTGCTCCTACGTGGAAATCAACTGGGAATCAATTTGTTTGTGACATTTTAACAACGTCATATGCCTTGACAATTGACGCAGGCATTCACGTCTCCCAGCAGATATCAGTCCTTGCTGATGTCAGTGAATTCTTTTGCTATAGGTGATCTTTCTCGTCTTCACGTTGTTCTGCAGCGCTCTCTTTAAAGCTCATGACGTGTGTGTGTGTGTGTGTGTGTGTGTGTGTGTGTGTGAGGGGGGGGGGAACAAACCCACTGTCTTCCCAGATGTCGATTGACTGGGGGCATCCCTCGAAGTGAGAGTGCTTCTGCCTGAAAGGCACTGAACCAACGTTCATTCATTCATGATCCTGTTGTGCAATTATGTGTCACACAGGGCTCACATTCTATGAATTCATTCCATGCTATCCTGTGCAGTCAGTTTAATATTATGAATGGAATCAAGTCCAGCAGCCTTGGCCTCTCTTATCAACGTTAGTCTCAGAGTTCCTCTTGGTCGTTCTCGCCTTCCTAATCCTTTTATTTTATATTTTAATGCTTGTTTTTTGATTCTCTGCTGGTTTAATCTCAGGGTGTGTCCAATGTAGCGCCATCTTCTCTGTCTGATAACTTTTGAAACTAGTGAGCTAGCAGGAAGCGATCCAGTCCCCCTGAACCTGCGTTGCGATAAAAACCACAAAGAAAAGACGGGACTATGTTTCTACTCTCAAAGCGCAAAAAGCTCGGTTTCTCAAGTCTTTGATAACCTTCACGAACAATCGGGCTCGCTGGGCACTTCCAGAAAGTTTCAATTAGAAACTACAGTCCAGAAGTGGACGAACAACCAGAAATTTCCGCTTGAGCTTTACTGCCGGTGAAGGCGAAGAAGATTAAGAAGAAGAAGAATTCTATTTAGCTCTACTATAATAATTGAAAAAAACAAAACAAAACTGAGCAGAGATCATGAAAGACACTGCACTAAGTATGAAATGGCATTTATAAAGGCTTTTAGAATAAGGAGATTAACACGCACTTTCAGGCACTTAACATGGTGTAAAAAAAAAAGCAATATGCAGGCGCCAATCAATCTGTTGGTGTTTTCTTTAACTAATCCACAGCGAGACTAAACACAAAATAAACGTCAGACGGAGTGTATGATTAATGTCAAGGTCGCTATTCGTTATGTATGCATCTCAGACTTCCTGCCATTTGTGTGAAGTTATTAATCTATGACTGAATCACTGGCGCTGAGTGCTCAGTCTCCTTTGAGCACCCGACCCTGAATATCTTAGAAAGCAGTTAGCCTGGGGGGAGGCTCAACAATTTTATAAGTGCATCTAAGAGGTTTTCTCTAACCATGTGCAGATATTCTCCTTAACAAGTATTTGTTTATGTATAAAATAATATACCCAGTACGGTATATTATATTTTATACACAAATAACAACAACAACAAGGACAACAACAACGTGTTAAATGGCACATAAGTAAAACAATATAAATAATTTATGAAATATACAAACAGCGATTTTTAAAGCTAATTTCTATACATGGTTTAAATGTTAGCCCCCTTACAGCTTCCAGATTTACTGAGGGGGTGGGGTGGGGGAGGGGGGGGGGGCCTGTGTTTCTAACAACCTCCCAGTTTCGGGGAGGATCAGGAGGAGGTCTGAGCGCCTCTTATACGTTTATAAGCCCACAATGTTTTCTTTGTGTCGATGCGCCTCGGCTAAATATATGGGATCTAATTATTTACCGATAAGGGTCTACATTGTATTAGGCATTCTGTGGCCGACTGTACAGGTAAACGTAGCCTAATTGGTAAGGATACACAATTCATCCACAAGTTTAAAAGTGGCATTTCCCGGCTTTTCGGCGCACTTGGCAAATTACCTAATTAAATATATTGCCTCAAAATTCAAACTGTAACATTTATGCTAATTCAATTCCAGATTTCTAAACATATATATATGAATAGCTAATACCTCCATTTTATGTAATTAATCAAGGTTCTTAGGTCGACTCAGCTGAAGCTGGTTTTTAGGAAATGTTCTTGGAAGTAAAGTCAGTTGGCAGGATGTTGACCTTTACAATTACTGAGTGCTGGTTGGTCTATAAAATGTGGGTTTATGACCACGTGCCCGATGCATCAGTAACGTGAACAATCGTCGGCGACTTTTCTTTGTGCCCATCTATATGCAGACAAAAGCTGTATCTACATATTCAGACATACAAATATAAATGGTGTCTAGGTAAAAACTTGTTAATGAAGCTAAGCTTCGCCGCTTTCTGTATGAGACAGGTTCGATTCCCGGTAAGACAAGTAAAGCTGTCCATTTGTTAGTGATTTTCACTACTCGGCCGAACACGAATAGCGGGACCAACTATTCGGCCGAATACGAATACGAATAGTGCATTATCATCATCAGGTGCCTTGCCGACTGGCGTGGGCGATTATGCCTCGCCACAATCTGCGATCTCCTACAGCATGTATTAATTCGTGTGCTGACACACCTCCATGCCATGCAACAAGACTGTCAATAATCTTCTCTCGTTGTCTTCCTCTATCCCTCCTTCCACAAATCTTTCAGTGGTCACAACATGTTCCATTTTCCCTCTTCTGATAACATTGCCGAAAAATGATGGCTGTCTCTTTCTGATGTCTGTGGTTAGTTGTCTTCGAGTTCCCGCCTCTTTTAAAACCTCTCTTTTTTTAGGTGTCCAAGGTATTTTAAGAATTGTTCTGTAAAACCACATCTCTGAGGCCTCAAGAAATTGTTTGGCCTGCCTACCGATTGTCCAGGACTCACAGCCATATGTTAAAACTGGATGTATGTAGCAAGCAAAAAATTCTTTTTCTAACCTTCATTAACAAAGATACGTTGCATAAGATGTTGTTCATTTTATAAAACGTAGTTTTTGCCTGTTTCTTATCTCAGTAATGCATCTTCCATCTGATGTTATCCATGTGCCCAGATACTTTAATTTCTGTACTTGTCCTAAAATAACACCATCGACTTTTTTATTACACATTTAGGAATAATTCTTTTCTTCGATACCACCATTACTTCTGCCTTCCCACTATTCAAACTGAGGCCCATTCTTCCACTTTCGAATTGTCTATAGTGTATAAAATAAATAAAAAAATAAAAAAAAATTTATAATGTCAAATGTCTTCTGAATTTTTGCTTCACAAAATGTAGTACGGAATAGTAAACATTTAAACACATTTTATGTTTTGCATCCTTCAGTCAGTCTGTGGGAACTAATACCTAGAAATAAAAGTATTCTTAGTTTTATAACAAGTAACTAAACTTTTAATCTGTCACTGACAGCTTTGTTAATGCATGAAAGCGATTTAGGCAACAGCAACTATCGCAGTGTATGCAGAAACGAGTGTAAGGTAACCACTATTCGTATTCGGCCCGACCGCAAGTATTCGGCCAAATACCAAATCGTTATTAGGTCTACTTTTCGGCCCCGAAGCGAATACAAAGCGAATATTCAGTACAACCCTAATTCTCATATTCCTTTTTTCTTTCCTCTGCATCACCGATACCAGTAAATTCATACACATTTATAAATCACGCTGAGCTCAGAGGCGTACTATCTAACAAAAGTGCATCCAGACATGCTGGCAGAAAGAAACCCACAGAAGCCAACAACTCCAGAAATGTCTGGAAACAAAAGCAATGAGGAAGGGATATAGTCACCCTACCTCAGGTGTGGAGATTTAGCATATGTGACGATCTAATGGTAGAATCTGCTAAGTGACCTATTGATCAGAATCCAAACACTTCCAGAACGGCAAACACACCTGTTCGCTTCCACGTAAAGTACACCCGATAATTATTTAACAATCAGGCTGGCAACCTACCTCGGGTACATGGCCCACTACAGACTGGGTAACCAGAAGAGTCAAGGGTATCACCAACACAAGAATCAATCCTACTGTGTTATCCATTATCCTTCTGTAGGAAAGCAGTGAACATAATCCGCTGTTTGAATCAATAATCAAGTTCTGGGAAAGGATTTTCCCGATAGCACTGGTCCTATGATTTGGTCAGACAAAATATCAAAGACGAATGAAGTCTTGTCGCAGTCTTCGAAGACACTGGCTTTGCAGAAGCACACCGTCTGGAAGAAAAAAAAAATCATTGTGTCATATTAAAATTTTTCTTTATATACAGCCTCAAAGGAAAACACTTTGCTATTCATTAACAACATCGTAAAACAGAACACGTAAACATAAAAAACATAAATGCAAAATTACAATAGGTGATGTATAAGAAATGCGGTGGGGAAACAAAACACAAGAAAAGACAGGAGTTTCCAAAGAAGAACAAAGAACAATGAATGATAGGCACAGAACAATACATTGTATAAATATGAAAGAACTAAAGGGTCTGATCATGTAGTCTGGATGTAAAACAGTCAGCTAGCAGCTAGAGTGTAATTCATGAGAACTGCATGCCACAAGACAAGAGGCGGACCAAGAAAGAGATGGATGGCGTGGGTAAGAGAGACACCACAGAAACGTAGTATGACATTACCACAAGCTATGAAACAAGCACAAGACTGGAAACTACGTTTAGCTCCTTTCTGCAACGTTTTACGGCAGAAAAAAAAATCGCATGCTCTATCTATCAATCCACCTTTCCATTCGCACAAGCAAGAGCCCAGAGTCTACCCACCCACCTAAATAACCTATCTATCCACCCAGCTAACTAACCTATCTATCCATCCATCTATCCATTCGCCCAGCAATCGACCCCACCCAGTCACACCCGACTAACTCTCTGGTCCACTGTTTTTTAACCGGTGGGCCGCAGAAAAGTCCACGTGAGTCGCTAACTAAAAATGTCTGCTTCATGATTTAACGGGTCGGTTTGGTAGTTCATATCAAACGCCACGACGGATTGGAAAAAGTAATAGCAGAAGGCATGGTACCATGAAGGAAAGGCACCGGCCGACCAACACGAAGATGGGCACATGATATAAGCGATTCCTTGAGTATGAAAGTTACCGAGGAGGGGGAGCTGGCGAGAGACCCAGTTTCTTTCAGGCAGACCGTGTTGAGAGCGACGCTCTGCAAAGAACCTGCTACATGATGATGATTATGACTGCTAACTACACGTGCACTTGTTTTTGTTGCTGTGGTAGCTTACAGGTGGCCGGAGACGAATTTTACCTGTTTTGGTGGACGCAGGGGGGAGGGGGGGGGGAAGGTGGAACAAGATTGAGCAAAACTGATCTAGTCACTCACTCATCGCATGCAATCCATCCATCCACCCATCCATCCATTCATCCATCCATCTATCCAGTCATACGTCTGTATCTCTATGTCATACCCATAAACACATACATTTTCAGTTTCCTTAGGCGTTTCAGGTTGTAGTAATATTTGAGATTACGTCATTGATGTCCAAAAGTATTGTTTTAAAAGTGCGCTGCGGTATTTATTTTACAAGATGTGAATCCCGACATGTAAACCGCGCAATGCAGAACATAAAGTAAATAATAGAAAGACTTTTTTTATTTTCTGTCGGCTTCAGTGGCTTAGGCGTTGCAAAAGCTCTTCGTAATGCCGGGGGGCTGGGTTCGATCCCAGCTGCAGGCCATGCGCCTCGCGTGGATTTTGACAGTGGTATCGAGAAGCCGACCGTCCAGAAGCAATGGCAAACTACTGGACGTTAATTTTCCTAGAAAAACCACAAAAGCCAGAAAAAAAAATGTTGGGGTTGGTTCTGCAATGTTCTGTAAAGGTTACGCAACTAACTTATTATTCTTATGAATTCTAAAATTGCAACAAAAAAAAAAAAAAATGAAGACGTCAATTATATATGAGCGCTCGGGTTAAATGAGGGTCACAGCAGCAGAACAAACCATGTAATTTAATCATAGAGAAATTATCTGCCTGTGTAAATACAGTACTCCAGTTACAACCCATGTTTAATATTTTGGTCTCGCCTTCGTCGTCTCCGTGGTTTCCTTGGAACGTTTTCGTGTTAGGTTAGTAAGACAAAGTCTTGACAAGGTCTTTGTGTCGGCTGCTGTGTTACTGCGTCAACTTTCCCTCTAATCCATTGTCGGCCTGTTTTGTTTCCACTTTTTCCTCTTCTTTTCTAATTGTTTGTTTCCACTGGCCTTGAACTACAATGTATTCATCTACGTCAACTCTGTTTGGACTGTACTGCTTTCTGCAATGCCTGTAGGCCTCTGTATATTTTTTTATTATAGGTTGTTACATCCTGACACAAAATTCTTACTGAACTGTACTTGGTGCCCAGAAAATCAAGAGCCCCTTCTGATGTACAAAAAAGACAACCAACACCCGACTGGGTGATTTTATCCGTCACACAAACAGCCATTACTTTCCAGGATATATGAAGGTTTTCATTTTAGCAAAGGTCAACCAAAGTCAACTAAAAGAAATTATCTACACTGTGCGGATGTGAACCCAAGACTTCAAGGCCAACAGGTAATCGACTAGCCACTGTGCTACTGTAGCTAGGAATAATATTTAGTTGATAGTTAACAGTATATGAGAGATAAAATACCGCAGCTGATTGTATGGGTCGTCAATGAGCCGCACTATTGGGTAACAAAAAACCCAACCAGGGGACTCCGGAACCAAAAACTATCATAGAGAAACTAGTGCACTCACTATTCAACACAGCACCATATCTTCTTAACTCTGTAACTTTACCACAGTAACTAGTATGTGTTTACTGTCACACAATTATGCAGCCTCAAAAAATAATCCGTTAAAGTCCGTTGACGGATTCCTGTAGTGAATGCATTAAACGGGTATTTTTCTTGCCTCCTGTCAGCAGTCTCAACATGACGAGACTGGGCAGCACAAGTCTCCCCGTCTACCGACCTGGCGTACGAAGAATGCCACTGCCGCTAGCCACGGCCGTGTCGCTCGTGTCTGATGTGAAAGGTTATCAGTCTGTCTCAACCTTCTTAGGGAATATAGGCACATATCCTCATACCGGGGTTTCTCCTTGTGTGGGATGTTTAGCAGTGTTTTATAAACATTTCTGGGCAAGTGATTGCATTGGGGAAGTGGTTTATTACTTTGTTCTAATAATGTTTGCTGTTCAATTCTTACTATAGAGGGATTTTTGCATTAACGCGATACTTAATTCTCGCCACTGTGAAAGTATATCACATCCCCTTTCTTCTTTTTCTTCTCCTTCTTGTGTGTATGTGTGTGTGAGTCTGTGTGTGTGAGTCAGCGTGTGTGTGTGTGTCTGTGTGCGTGTGTCTGCGTGTGTATATTTGTGTTTCTGTGTGTGTGTGTGTATGTGTGTGTCTGTGTGCGCATGTGTCTGTGTGTGTGCCTTTGTGTGTGACTGTGAGTGTGTCTTTGTGTATGTCTGTGTTGTTGTCTGTGTGTGTGTGTGTGCGTGCGTGCACAAGTATGCATTTTCCCACCCATGTTTTTTCTTTATCTTCATAATATGTACATTATTATGTGAACATAACATAATATGTACATTATTATATGAACATAACATAATATGTACATTATTATATGAACATAACATAATATGTACATTATTATATGAACATAACATAATATGTAGATTATTATATGAACATAACATAATATGTAGATTATTATATGAACATAACATAATATGTAGATTATTATATGAACATAACATAATATGTAGATTATTATATGAACATAACATAATATGTACATTATTATATGCACATAACATAATATGTACATTATTATATGAACATAACATAATATGTACATTATTATATGAACATAACATAATATGTACATTATTATATGAACATAACATAATATGTACATTATTATATGAACATAACATAATATGTACATTATTATATGAACATAACATAATATGTACATTATTATATGAACATAACATAATATGTACATTATTATATGAACATAACATAATATGTACATTATTATATGAACATAACATAATATGTACATTATTATATGAACATAACATAATATGTACATTATTATATGAACATAACATAATATGTACATTATTATATGAACATAACATAATATGTACATTATTATATGAACATAACATAATATGTACATTATTATATGAACATAACATAATATGTACATTATTATATGAACATAACATAATATGTACATTATTATATGAACATAACATGCTTTGTTGATAAATTACACTTGTTATGTGGAGGAAGGGTGTTTGGAAGGGCCGAATGTAAGACGAGTCTGCGTGCCCAATTTGTGACCCTTTGAAAATAACGTTCGTTCGTTCGTTCGTTCGTTCTTCCTATTCTTCGTCTTCTTCTTTACTTCTTCTTCTTCTTCTTCTTCTTCTTCTTCTTCTTCTTCTTCTTCTTCTTCTTCTTCTTCTTCTTCTTCTTCTTCTTCTTCTTCTTCTTCATCTGCTGCTGCTGCTCCTCCTCCTCCCCCTCTTCTTCTTCTTCTTCCTCTTCTTCTTCTACTTCTTTCCTCCCCTCCATCTCCTTATCTTCCTTATTTTCTTCTTTTTTTTCCATCTCACAGAGGGACAATGGTAAACAGCAAACGGACGCCAATGCTTCGCAAATTTCTTCTTGTTTGGTAACATTTTGCAGCCTAACTATACACCACGTCATCCCTTTGTGGGATGAAATCTTTTGTTATTTGAAGCCCTACTCTGGCTCTTGCCAGGGGCCGCAATATAGCCCGGCCATAAATATTGTCTAATGGTTGAACGCGGTTTCTGGGACCTCTTCACGGGTGATCCTCATCCACATGGTGGCACTTTGTGTCATCAGGTGTTATCACTTGTGTGATGTCTTGATTGGGGTAAAAGAAAATAGACAGATTTTGCAGCAATATTTTCTCCAAGGGATAAGGTAACCAGGTTAACGCCAACCATCCTTCGTGGTCCTTTCCGACAAACATGTTTAATTGCAGTGTTTCAATTCTTTTCTTATCTCAAGATCCCTAGCCATTGACGAAGCCAAAATACAATAAGAAAAAAGATCTGTAGGTTTAATGACCAAGAAATTATGCTTTCACCCAGCTACAAAAAACAGAGGAAGAGAAATTGTCTAAATCTTAATGTCGTGACCTAAACTCTACAGCCAGAGGCAGGGGAACAACTGGTCTCAGCCAAAAGGCAACACAGGTGGCCAAAACTGCCAATTACTGTCTTTGTGATCTCATTTTTGCGGTGTAGGCAACAAAGTCTTTGAGCCGATGATTTACGGCCGCATGGCTAGTGCTGTCGCCAGACTGTGCAGGAGAGAATTTAATTTTACAAAATTGTTGCTTTATTAATATCCTAACACAAACAGGGGAAATCTACAGGTCAAGGGACAGTTTAATATTTTAGGAGGTAGACAAACTGCACGGAGTCGTGGGGCCTAAGCTGCATGCAGTCGTGGGGCCTAAGCTGCATACAGTCGTGGGGCCTAAGCTGCATGCAGTCGTGGGACCTAGGCTGCATGCAGTCGTGGGGCCTAAGCTGCATGCAGTCGTGGGGCCTAAGCTGCATGCAGTCGTGGGGCCTAAGCTGCATGCAGTCGTGGGGCCTAAGCTGCATGCAGTCGTGGGACCTAGGCTGCACTCTCTCGTGGGACGTAAGTGGGTTGGGGTTAGGGCCAGTTCTATGTTTTGGGGCCATTAAAAGCATCAGAAGGCAGGAAAACCCAGTGTTAGCACCCTCTAAAATGTTGGACTGTCCTGTGACGTCATCTGGGGAGTAGGATATTAATAAAGAGAACCACCCCCCCCCCCTCCCCGTATACATTACCTGTAACAACTTTATATAAATTACAGAGTTACAAAAGTAAACGAAAAATCAAGAGAGATAAGTCCTGCATCAAATCGTGATGTCAATTAAAACAAAAATGCTATGCATTCCAAGTGTAGTTGCACACCATTTTTTTTTCTATAACATTGTTTCCTTAAATAGATGTCAATACATTTTGTTAGTTTATCCTTTATGTTATGATGCTACTATCGTTTCTCTCCATTTCCCCATGCCTTTCTCACTCTTAACGTTTATGTTGTCTCTACCTACTCCAGTTTCTCGTTTTGAGTGTCACTTCTAAATAATATGGACTGTTCTTTGCTGATGTGTGTAACCAGTTTTGTTATTGGTAAATTTATATCAAGACATCTTAATTACGTATTTCATCTGTCCGTGATATTCTCGACATTCTTCCGTAAAACCACATATATTACCACTCTGTAAGGCTAATAAATGTGTCCCGTCCACCTCTTCACAAGGCAGGCACTATCCGCCATGGAATTCACTTTACTACATACAGTCGACAGACAACCACACCGCATCTCTCCTTCCTCACACTGTTCACCGAATTTACGTCCTCATATAAAGATAACACGTGAGAAATGTCTCATGGGAACGAGAGACTGTTATATGGGCCTTCTTAGATCTTTGCAAGAAACGTTTATGCTTTCTCTGCCTGCATTGTCGATGCTATAACCTTTCTTATTTTCTCCTGTGGTGTTTCCCCCCTTTCTGTTCCGTATTTTTCCTCTGTTTATCTGCCTAGTCTCTATTCCCCTTTACAATCTAACATGAATACTCTTCTGTTGTGGTTATCTCTCTCTCATTCTATCTATCTATCTATCTATCTATCTATCCATCTATCTATCTATCTATCTATCTATCTATCTATCTATCTATCTATCTATCTATCTATCTATCTATCTATCTATCTATCTATCTATCTATCTATCTATCTATCTATCTATCTATCTATCTATCTATCTATCTATCTATCTATCTATCTATCTATCTATCTATCTCTATCTATCTATCTATCTATCTATCTATCTATCTATCTATCTATCTATCTATCTATCTATCTATCTATCTATCTATCTATCTATCTATCTATCTATCTATCTATCTATATCTATCTATCTATCTATCTATCTATCTATCTATCTATCTATCTATCTATCTATCTATCTATCTATCTATCTATCTATCTATCTATCTATCTATCTATCTATCTATCTATCTATCTATCTATCTATCTATCTATCTATCTATCTATCTATCTATCTATCTATCTATCTATCTATCTATCTATCTATCTATCTATCTATCTATCTATCTATCTATCTATCTATCTATCTATCTATCTATCTATCTATCTATCTATCTATCTATCTATCTATCTATCTATCTATCTATCTATCTATCTATCTATCTATCTATCTATCTATCTATCTATCTATCTATCTATCTATCTATCTATCTATCTATCTATCTATCTATCTATCTATCTATCTATCTATCTATCTATCTATCTATCTATCTATCTATCTATCTATCTATCTATCTATCTATCTATCTATCTATCTATCTATCTATCTGCCCGCCCGCCCGCCCGTCCGTCCGTCCGTCCGTCCGTCCGTCCGTCTGTCTGTCTGTCTGTCTGTCTGTCTGTATATCTATCTATCTAATCTGTCTGTCTGTCTGTCTTTTCTTTCTTTCTTTATTTCTTTTAGGGGCTCATTTTGGATAAATAATAACAGACCCCCTGCTCAACAAGCCTGTCGTAAAAGACGGTTGTGTTGGACAGAAATGCGTAAATATCGCAGTATACTTGTAAACCAAAATACGAAGTCCAAATGCCTTTCAATGGCGAACGCAGAAGAAGAAGAAGACAAACATTAACAGACAACTAAAACTGCTTATAGCATCAGAAGCAGACAATTCACACCCTTCAAGCATCTTCTTTTTTGGGGAGTCCAGCGGCTGTAAACTCTGGCGGGAAATGCTGGTTGTTCACCCACTTCTGGAGTTTAGTCGTATTCTAGAACATGAGCTGGCGCACACATCCGTTTTACAGATCTGACTTATTTCAAACTGTTGGTTCCTGGCATCTCAGGTAGATGCACTCTGACCTCGAGGGAAACATTCCTAATTAGTCGACTCTCACTACATACTTGTACCCCTTCCCCACTCCACAAGGGAACCCCGGGACGCAGACGGGGACATCCCTTAGTATGTGGAGGGAAAGCTAGAGGATGTCGTGATAACAGGGATGACTGGCGAGGATGGGAATGATTTAACAGTTCAGGATTGGTTTAAAGGATGTCGTGATACCAGGGATGACTGGCGAGGATGGGAACGATTTAACAGTTTAGGATTGATTTAAAGGATGTCGTGATAACAGGATGACGGTTGAGGATGGGAACGATGTAACAGTTTAGGATTGATTGAGACACTACCGAGACTGAAAACGCAACTGTAAGAAGACAAAGTAACAAACGTGAAGCTAAAACTTTTATACGATAAGTCTCAACTTGTGGAAAAGGGTCCTTTACTTACTTGTGTAAAGTAACTACCGAGGATCTAATTAAAAAAACAAAACAAACCCAGTCCTTCTGGGAACTGAATTCCGACATTTATGTTGATAGGCAAATCACTAATGGCCATTCTGTCCTTGCTACATGTTTTATTATCGATTAACGCTAACACACACACAGACACACGCACATACAAACTGACCGAAAGCTGATCACATTAAAGAGAAAATAACTGGGAAAGAAAGCAACAAGGAAGTGCGATTTTAAGAACAAGGGAACAAAAAGTCAACAGTTTCAATCATTCACTGACAGAGATGAAATAGCTGTTAAAAATGCTGACTATAGTAGCAGCAGCGATTATGATACGAGATATCTCAACGGTAAGGCAAAAGTATCGGCTTGCCAGGGTGTAGTTTGACATCTCGCATTTAACTTTCGGCAAGTTGTAAGAATCACCTGTCTGGAGAAAATGTCTCTTATGTGACAACTGTAATCTAGGATACCTTCGCACACTCAAGGAGTCCTCCGAGTAAACAATACACCGGTGCGAAGTTGTTAGCAGTCTTGTTTTCAGTGACAAGATTTATCATTAGGCTTGCTTGGACAAATGAGAAGAGTCTTAACCGGTCTCATAAATCTCGTTTTATTTTTAAAAAAATACCTACAAATCGGGTTAAGCCAGACGGTATTTGAGATTTCCCCCAAAAAGAAAAAAACACACACAAATTTGGGAAATATATCCTCCGAGTGTGTGTGTGTGTGTGTGTGTGTGTGTTTTTTTTTTTTAAACTGCTCCCCAGGCAGCAGTTAAAAAAAAAAAAAAAAACGCACAGAGGATTCATGCGTAAACATAAGTATATG